GGGTGCTGGCCGTGCCGCGCAGGGCATAACCGACGGACCTGTGAAGCTTCACAGGAGGCAGAGGCTTAGATCACTGGACGACAGAGTTGGTCGCCGTGTGCACAGACGGAGCTGCTGTTAACGTCGGTGTGTACAACAGAATTGTACCAAAACTACGTCAACTGGCTGCGGTGGGAGACTCCCCTGTGCACATTCTGTGCCCCGCGCACACACTGGAGAACTGCGCAAAATCAGCTGATCACAACGTTCACGCTCTGTGGTCAAGCTGCTGCAGTTTTATTTACAACAAAGTGGAGTAAAACACACAGCTGCAAACTTACTCAAGGTGTTAATGGAAGAGTTTGAAATCAGACAGAGGTGGAAGAAGTGTTACTCAAGTAAAATTAGAAAAGTATTATCATCAAAATCTAGTTAAAGTAGCGACAGTAAAAGTAGTCATTTTGCAGATTGGTCCATTTCATAATAATGTATATGATATGTTTTATAATTATTGATCATTAAAGTGTTTAAAAATTAGTTTGAATGACTTTGTATACTGCGGGGTAGCTTGTGGATTTACTCCAGGTGGAACTAAAGTCTGATTTAACACTTGATTATATTTTCACATCATTCATCCACATCTGTAAAGTAACTAAAGGTATTAAATAAATGTAGTGGAAGAAAAGTACATGATTTACCTCTGAACTGTAGTGGAGTAGAAGTACAAAGTAGCATAAAATAGAAATACTCAAGTAAACTACAAGTATCTTAAATTGTACCTAAGTACAGTACTTGAATAAGTGTACTTTGTTACTTCCCACCTCTGAAATCAGATATGACTTCAAGTCATGTGATAATTTCTTAGTATTTGATCCTTCAACTTGGCCTCAGGAAATGCAAGGACTTCACAGTTTTGGCAACACGTTTTGGAGAAAGCAAATTGGAGGCTTACAAAGAGACAGGGAGGTGCATCTTCATCATCTTCATCATCTAGCATGCAAGAAGTGTAAATAGAGGACAGTGAAGGAGACACTGAGGAGGACAGTGAGGAAGACTGCACTTATTAACACCACGCTTCATGTGGGGTGAGTACCAAACGCTGTCTCCTGGTACTCATCTGAGTAACTCACTCAAAAAGTTATGTGCACACCTGGTTATAAGGGCTATTTTGCACAATAGGTGTGCCTTGAGATTTTTACTTTCCTTTGATGTGCCTTTGGCACAAAAAGTTTGGGAATCACTGCTCTATAGTATCAAGTATTGTAAATAAATTGTATAATGCACCTGCATTTTATAAAAATTCTGAGCTGACATTTCTCTTTGATTGCTTCGAGCAAAAACACTTAAAGGTAGGGTAGGTAAGTTTGAGAAACCGGCTCGATATCGCTAGAATTTGAAAATACACAACCAGAGAACATCTGCCACTTCCTTACAGAGCCCCTCCTCCAACACACGAACGTGCACATGACCAATGAGGGCACGAGATAGGTTTGTGCCCCGATGGAAGGCTGGACCATCCAGTTATTTTAGCCGGGCCGTTAAAATGATTGGTCGTGCTTTTTACTTTTTTTTTTTTTATAAAACTTTATTTTAAATTATTTGGCAGTACATGATATACACAAGTTACATTAATAATACATATATAAATAACATAAACAGAGAGCACGTCCATATTCCAGCGAGTTCGGTCAGAGACTCAACATTTGTCAAAGGTTTTCCTTTTTAGTTCGTTGATAAGTTGTCCCACATGAGGCGACTTTTTACAGCACTTGTTTGCTCTATCTATTATTTTATCTAATATATCTGTTAATCTATTCATTTTTATTATAATCAGTATTCATAGTTAAACGTCTGTAATTATCTATATCACATTCTTATCTATGTCTTCCGTTACTGCATTAAAATCTCCACCGAATATAATTCTATAACCCACCGTTAAAACCTCTCCAAGTTTTCTAAATACCTGTAACCCACTTGTTGCGTCAGGGGCAGTATAAATACCAACAAGTAGACATTTTTCATTTCCACAATAACAATCCATCACAAACCACAAATGCCAACTTCATCAGCTCCGCCATCTCAGACGGAGACAACACATTCTCCCCCGTGCCACATTTTACACTCTACATCTCTAAATTAGCCCGTTTTTCTAAATCGTTCAAGTTTCTGCTTGCAGGTCTCTTTTTTTTAGAGACCTCAAACGGGGCCTCGTGCTTTTTACAGTATTACGGCTTCCACAGATGACATTTTTTTATGGATTTTTTGTCAAAGCACTTCAGATATTCATTGCTATCGGGATGTTAAGAGCATTCCATGGAATATAACAAAAAGTGTATCTCGAGCCGGTTTCTCAAACTTACCTACCCCATCTTTAATGGGTATTCACTGAAATTAAGTCTGCAGGGAAACCTATGCTCAAAGTACTTTGGTGCTGACTAAGTAAGAACTTAAAGATCCTTATTTCATAGAGGAAAACAAGTCTGTATTAATTAGTGATACAGAAATGTGAAAATAATCTACAATTTCTCAGGATGTGATAGTTAGACCCCGTTTTATATTTATGTATACTTATTACACTTTTAAAAGTATACGTTGTTTTAACCGAGCCATGGTGGCGCGAGCTGTAACGAGGCTCAGTAAACTATTAATATGTGAGAAATATATGCATTTCATATTTAAGGGATTTACGTTTAGGATCCATGGATTATGCATCAAGTTGTACACTTATTCAAAACCGAGGAATACATCTATAGAAGTAGTGGGTGGCTCTTAAAAGAGCCGTTGTGTTGTTGGTATATCAGCAGCAGTTTACTTGGAGCTGGTGTACTTGGTCACGGCCTTGGTGCCCTCAGACACGGCGTGCTTGGCCAGCTCTCCGGGGAGCAGCAGGCGGACGGCGGTCTGGATCTCCCTGGAGGTGATGGTGCGGCGCTTGTTGTAGTGAGCCAGACGGGAGGCCTCCCCGGCGATGCGCTCAAAGATGTCGCTCACGAAGCAGTTCATGATGCCCATGGCCTTGGAGGAGATACCGGTGTCGGGGTGCACCTGCTTCATCACTTTGTACACGTAGATGGCGTAGCTCTCCTTCCTGGACTTTCTCCTCTTCTTGCCGGTCTTGCTGGGGGTCTTGGCGACGGCTTTCTTGGAGCCCTTCTTGGCCGCTTTCACGGGGGGTGCGTCTGCAGGCATGATTACAGGTCGAGGTCTGATAGCGCTATTGACTGCGGTAGGCAGAGCGGTCTATTTATATCCACCCTATGCAAATAGAACTGCGTTGTTGCTCGCATCGGATTGGTAGTTTTCCGAGGTGGATGTAGCGTATTCTGAGGTGGACTGAGCATGCCCAAAAAAGAATGCTGGGAGCAGTTTTCTTCCAAGTTATATAGCTAACATGCCTCTTACCAACTTGACTTAACAACACAGACTAATGCAATGTTTCTTCTTCCCAACAGGCCAACAGGCACCCAAAACATATGTTATAAAAGCCAATTAATCATTCCAGAGTTTAAGTGAAGTAAAAATGATGTTGTCATTAGCCCGCAGGTTATACACAGGCTTGATCATGCACAATTAAAGACAACGTTTCTGTGTTTTTGTGTACATGCAAACACCTACGTAGTTGACATGAAGTGTGAAAATTAATTGATTGCGTTTCGGACAACCAATAATGATGCTCTGAGAAATAATTTTCGGACTATTGAAATACATTTGGACTGATGTGTCGGTCGCGAACGAGCCGGCTCTTTTAAGTGAACGACGGGAGCCGGCTCGCGCCCGCGAACGAGCCGTTTTTTCTTTTTTTTTTGGTGTTAAGTAATACAAGACATAATGATATGATGATCTCCGCGCTACAGAGACTGTTGGATGCTGCTGTTTTGAGCATTGCAATACATTTATTTGTATTATGTTTTTTTATGATTAGAGACGGTTGGATGCTGCTGTACTGAGCATTGCAATATATTTATTTTCACTATGTTATTTATGATTATCCTTGGGCTCAGCAAAGATTTGATGTCAGCTGTTGCTGTCTTTTGTTCTATAGTTAATACTGAAATAGAGCCCTGCTGTTTTGTCAGGGCCTTTTCTTTAAATATAATTTTAAAATGTCGATACAGTAGCCCCTTTTTTTAAATGTCTATGCTTAAGTTTTTATAGGTGTTGCTATCTGCTTTGTGTAGCGTGGTTCTACAAGCAAGTCTGTGCATTCATTGGGTGGTATCAGAGAGATACAAGGGTCTGTAAATGCAATGAAAACAATTGGCCACAGCAAATAATTGATATTAAACATGTCATTTTTACTTTTGAATACTTCAGTACAAAGGATGTATTGAATAATTTAAGTGATATGTGTACACATATAAATCATTAGTCAAAACAGGGCTACATTTGATTGAATTATAAAAGGTATAATATGTGGTAAACTGAAGAGCCGTTTGGGAGCCGAAAGAGCCCGCTCTTCATGGTGAGCCGAGCCAAATGATCCGGCTCACCAAGAAGAGCCGGAATTCCCATCACTACTTAATAATTCATGGTATTTACTTTAGGGCTTTCCCAAGTGTTCAAAGTGCCTTACATTATATATTAGACATTAATCCATAGATTACTGTGGACACTACTCACAGGACACACGCTGAAGACTTTTCTTTTTGCCGCTGCTTTTAATTGAACTATTCATATCTTAAACTGCACTGTAACTTTTATCCATGTATTTTTTTTCTTTTAATGTTTATTTTATTATCTTTTCTTTTTAATGACTGATTTTAAATGCCATTTTCTTAATGTCTTCCATTTTTGTAAAGCACTTTGAATTGCCTTGTGTTGAAAGGTGCTATATAAGTAAACTTGCCTTGCCTTGCCTTGTCAGAATCCACTGTGGCATTTAATATATTGAATGAAAATATTAATCTTGGTTAACAGATATCGAACGGTGAACAAAAACAAACATTTCAAATGTTAAATACTTCTTTGTAAGTTAGTGTCCTTTTTTTTAGAGAAATTAAGTTTTATATAGTGTACAACTCTTCTAGTGTTTTATTATATTGGATTCAAACATGAGTGATCTTGAACGACAGTGTAAAGGGAAACTCTTCATGTAATTTGGGTGGCTCTTAAAAGAGCCTTTGGTTGGTTGGTCTGACAGCTGCTTATCCCCCGAAGCCGTACAGGGTGCGGCCCTGCCTCTTCAGAGCGTACACCACATCCATGGCGGTCACAGTCTTCCTCTTGGCGTGCTCGGTGTAGGTGACGGCATCACGGATCACGTTCTCCAGGAACACCTTCAGCACACCGCGGGTCTCCTCGTAGATCAGACCGGAGATACGCTTCACTCCGCCGCGGCGAGCCAGACGGCGGATGGCGGGCTTGGTGATGCCCTGGATGTTATCACGGAGCACTTTGCGGTGACGCTTAGCGCCTCCTTTGCCGAGTCCCTTTCCTCCTTTTCCTCGTCCACTCATTTTGGAGTATTGGTAAATCGGGTCGTTCAAAACGAATGGGTGGAAGCAGTCTGACCGGCAGTATTTCAATATTCACTGCGGACCTAAGAGAAGACGGACAGCGGGAAGGCTGCTAGGCGGGGCCAACGCTGCAGCCTCCACATCATCTTCCAACACATTTTGTTTCTTTTAAATATTGTTTATATAATTCGCGCAGGCTTTATACTAAAGGTTTGATGATTAAAGGTTCCTTAATATGTAATACAACCCCCGAATAACATTTATAATTGAAAAAAGACAAGAAGACAGCAAATATATAATGTTTAAATACTAATGCCCATACAGTTAATGTAAATGGTTTATAATGGCTCAGGAAGCTGAATTTCGTATGCTCAGGGAGGCGGGCTGCCCAATATCCAGGCTGTGCTGCTGCCCATGAGAAACACCCTGAACCCGCTTCAATAAACAACAAAGGCTCTTTTAAGAGACACAAAACACACAATGCATAAATATATAAATAACATAAACAGAGAGCACGTTAGTATTCCAGTGAGATATTTGGTCACAGACTCAAAATGCCCCATGGCTGAGTCTGGGATTTGTCCAGGGTTTTTGTTCTTCTTAGTTCGGTAATAACCTGTTTCACGATGGTGTAGCTACTTATTGTTCTCTGATTTAATATCATCTTGCATCTTGTTTTCCAGATCTTCATACATGTGATACAAATGACAAGCCGAAAAAGTTCCCTGTGTTTTATGTCCATCTTTTCATCAAGAATACAATACATGATTGAGATATATTTGACATTGAACTCTAAGCCGATGCCTCGTAGGAGCGACCACACCTCCTCGGCTCTGTAGCAGTCCATGAGGAGGTGCTGTAAACTTTCGTCTTCCTCGCAGTTAACCATGGGACATGTTCTAGTTTTCACGTAGCAGCTCCATGAAACCACAGCTCTGACCGCAAGTCTGTTGATCGATATCAGCCACCTCACGTCTCTCATGCTCTCTGAAATCTGTTTACATTTGACTAATTTCAGGACTTCGTTACCTTCGTCAGGTGTTAGGTTTTTGTATGTTATAAAACCTCCATATTTGAAATCATTTACCATTTTAAAAATCACTCTATTCGGTAGTCCGATCCAATCAATCCCTAAATGCTGAAGTTCAGTTATGAAGTCACTATAAACTAATTTGTAATATGGTCCATTTCTAGCTCTGCCTCTTCTTTTGTTCCATCCCATTTCTCCACCCTCAACCCAAGGTGCTTTCCTATTTATTGCAGCTGAGATATTTTTTACAAAGGTAATGTTGAGTTTAATGCCCAGGTCTATGGCTCCCAGGCCTCCATATTCCCTACTTTTAAATAACAAATTACGTTTAGTAACCTCCCTTGTTGTACCCCACACCACATTGACACACTGTTTGTTTAATTGCATAATTATTTGGGCTGGTGGGGAGAAAATGTTTGCTAGAAAAAGGATCTTGCTAAGTATGAATGATTTTATTATGTTTATTCTTGATTTATAATTTGTATTTTTATTCTCCCATTGTTTAACTTGTTCTTTGACTTCACTTAGTTTGTTCTCCCAATTGAGTTCAGCACAGTTGTCGCTACAAATAGTTATTCCAAGTATTTTAATTTATTTTTTCACTTGAATGTTTATGTCGCATTTGGCATCGTCGGTGCCGATCCAAACACCTTCAGTTTTGTTGTGGTTTAATTTAGCTCCTGATGCCAATTCATATAAGTTTAGGTGGTTTGTTAGAACATCCATTTCTTGTTGGTTTTTTATTATAACAGTGACATCGTCTGCATAGGCGATGGCAGTTATTTTGGGTGCATGGCCAACTGGTGTTCCTGATATTAACCTGTCATTGTTTATTATTTTAATTAATGGACTTATGGCTAGCACGTATAGAGCTGCGCTTAGAGGGCACCCCTGCTTAACCCCTCTTTCAACATTAAATGCATTTGTCAACACACCGTTTACATTTACACAGACACAAGACTTAAAATACAGACACTTAATCATGTTTATGAAGGCTTCAGGAAATCCATAGGCCTTCATCACCGACCATAAGTAATCTCTGGATAAATAGTCGAAGGCTTTTTTTTTATCAAGTCCAATAATAAAAAAACCTTTTTCTTCTTTTGGTTTATTTATGATTTCTCTTAAATTGATAAGTTGTCCCACATAAGGCAACCTTTTATAGCACATGTTTGCTCTTTATCTATTATTTTATCTAGTATATCTGTTAATCTATTCATTATTATTTTTGCTAGTATCTTATAATCAGTATTCATTAGTTAAATGTCTGTAATTATCTATATCACATTCTTATGTCTTCTGTTACTGTATTAAAATCCCCACCTAATATAATTTTATAACCCACTGTTAATAGTTCTCTAAGTTTTCTGAATAAGTGTAGCTTATTTTTTGCCTTAGGGGCAGTATAAATATTGATAAGTCGATATTTATATTATAAAAACAATCCACCATAAGCAGCCTTCCTGGGATTATGTCCCTTCTTCTAGAAAGTATTCATTAATGCCACATTGTACACACATCAACATCACTGGTGGTATTCAGTCTAAGTTCTTGCGTAAAGAGGAAGTCATAATTAGTGTTTAATAAATATTTAATTTTCCTTTCTCGAAAGTCTTTAGACTGAACACCAAGTGTATTCCAGGTAGCGACATTTAAGAAGCTCATATTGGTTTATAAAATGAACTATGGTGATTTATTTACATTTGCCCGTTTTTCATTTAAGTTCAAGTTTCTACTTGCAGGTCTCTTTTTTGAGACCTCAGACGGGGCTTCCCCCTGAGCCTCCCTCGGGGGGTCTGGATATTCCGGAGTTGGTGAGAAGGACCGCGAGTTACTCTCAGGGGGCGAGTAGAGGGGCCTGCTGACTCGCTGACCAGCTGTAAGGCTGACAGGGCTGGAATCAGAGCATGGGCTTTCGCTCGCACTCTCATAAGATTGCTCATTTTCGTTTTCACTGTCAGAACTGTACTCACTCTCTACATCACTGTCAATGGTTAATCTACCCTCACCGGGATGGAGAGTCGTCTTCAGGAGTTGAAGGTTGTTGATCATCAGGGAGAGGGAGATCCTTGCTGGCAGGACGACGATCAGGCTGCTGCTGGGCTGCTGGGTGAGGACCAGGGCTGGGCTGCTGGATGAGGACCAGGACCAGGCTGCTGCTGGGCTGAAGGACGAGGACCAGGTTGCTGCTGGGCTGAAGGACGAGGACCAGGCTGCTGCTGGACTGAAGGATCAGGACCAGGCTGCTGCTGCTGGGCTGCAGGACGAGGACCAGGCTGCTGCTGGACTGAAGGATCAGGACCAGGCTGCTGCTGCTGGGCTGCAGGCAGAGGACCAGGCTGCTGCTGGGCTACAGGACGAGGCTGCTGCTGGGTGGCTGGAAGGAGTCCAGGACCAGGTTGCTGCTGGGCTGCAGGACGGGGCTGCTGCTGGGTGACTGAAGGAGGACCAGGCTGGACCCAGTCTGGACCCAGTTCATTGCATCTCCAACATTTCACTGTGGTGCATTTTCTGACCTGATGGTCGGCTGAGTTGCAGATGAAACAGGTGACGGATTGCCCTGGATAAATGATTCTCCCATTGTAGGGGCCGAGAGATATCGAATTTGGGAGATTTAGGATCTCACCATCACTGTTTCTGTTCATCTTAATTTTGTATTTTCTCACTCCATACCATATCCCAAATGTATCTATTGGTTTGTGTTTGCTGATTACTGTATATCTCCATATCTCTTCAAATAGGTCTCAACATCATGGTCTGGAATACGGCCAGTCCAGAATTTAACAATGATGTTTGAGATGTCTATTTGAATGGAAGATTCGAAAGTCCAGTCTTTCCACTTGGGATCTGAGGTTTTAGTTGCGAGAACGTCAAGGAAACGTCTCAGAGGAGCTTCTAGCAAAAAGCAAAGTTCAAACTCCTTTCTGTTTGGCAGTGCAATGAAGGAATACACATCATTTGTATTGATCCAGCAGGTATCAAATAATAGTGATTCTCCAACAAATTCACGACTTGGGGGTTCTCCTGAGCCTGTGAAGTTCAGGCGAACTTTTTTTTTTTTTTGTATATATATTTTTTTTTTTCACCCTTTTTTACCTCCTTCCTTTCGTCTTTCAATCATTTTTCGAGTCTGTAGGAACGGGTCGTTCAGAACGAATCATCAAACGGTCAACTATAGTTGGAATAATGTTTACATTTTCTATCAGATTATTCTTCGACATTTAAGAAGAAAATTCCTCCTTTCCCCCTTCCACTCATTTTCGGGTATCGCTATGTCGGCTCGTATTTCCGCCCTTGCCTCTTCCTGACATGTCGAGTTAGTTTCTTGATCGAGCTACGGAAAGAGAAAGCCGCCCTTGCCTCTTCCAAACATATTTGATTTCTCGGGTTTACAACAAAGTGTGGCTATTTGCTCGCCACAGCGGCTCTTTATATCCACCAGATATATATTCCTCCTTTTCCTCTTCCAGACATTTTTGGTTAAGTTGACTAGAAACGAAGCGGGTCTTAGCCTTGGCTCGGGCCTTTCCGCCGGTCTTCCCTCTTCCAGGCATAATTCATTTCTCTGGTATACAACGAAGTGTCACTATTTGCTCGCCACAGCGGCTCTTTATATCCACCAGCTGCTCTCTGATTGGCCATCAGTGAGGGAATCGACGATCGTCCAATAAGGAAGGGAGCTCATCAAGTTTTAAATCACTACTATCACCTGAGCAGATCTAATGGACCTAAAGGCAGCTTTATTCTTTGTTGATAAAAGGCTTATTGATTTTCGACCAGAACAGTATAGCTTAGTCTTCTTGTTAAGATAATGTGTATTTAGAAACACTGCTTGTATAAAGTGCGTCTTCTCCGACTGAAATCAAAACACGAGTCAGTGAATGATGGAGATAATCAGAATGAAAGATGGAAGAAACATATTAATACCACACTGTACTAAACTAGAAGTAAAAGCTGTGCAGTAAACATGT